CCACCGTTCGCAAACTCTACAACAAAAACATTCATCTCATTCTACGAAGTTCCCCTTCACATCGAAGAAAAAGATGGAGAAAAAAAATATGCTCCTCTGGTTGCATAGCAGTAATGAGAACAACTTAGATAATTACAAAACAATTTACTTGAATCGGAAAGATAAAAATTACACCTGAACCAAAAAATTAAATATTTTTCGATTGATCTCCGAATTTTATTTTCAAGACATTATCATGTATTTTTCCACACTGAGTGGATCAGATACAGTAATTTTTGAAATTAAAAAATGAACATACAGCCAAATCTCTTCAAGCCAAACTTTGAGGAACCAGCAAATCGAAATCGAGTTAGAGAGACAAACTTTTTGGTTTGAAAAAAAAAAGATAATCATGGGAAATTGTAATTATTGGCGATATTCTGGACCTTAAATTACTTCTCAAATGAGTTGGTAAGATAGATGCTGAACTTGGAGATGCAAGGGATCAATCGCCCAATCAACGTTTCTGTTCTCTCCAAAATACACATCCACTTAAATTTTTTATTTTATTCATTTCTTTTCTCTCTCCTGCGTCAATGAAATAAAAATAGTCAACAGGCCCACAGAAAATGAGTTGAGGGGATATTTTTCATTTAATTTAAAGCATGGTTTTTAAAGGAATTCAAGATAGGGCCTTGAAAATCCAACTTCAACTGCATCCAGAACACATTTTAACAAGAAGCCATGAAAAGTAAAAACAAGATAAAGCTCGATAAAGCGCTTTGCAGAAGCACCCTCTAGAATCAGGTGTCACACACACACACACAAACAAAACCCCACACACACACACCTAGGGCCAGGCATGGACCCATCGGCCGGCAGTTCCAAGACCACGCCCAGCATCTTGGTGACCGGAAACGCCGCTCGGAAGTCGTTCCAGCGATCCCAAGCATCCACCGAACCCAAATTCACACTGGCCCACACACAGGGACACCGATGGTGGTGGAAATGACGCGGTTTGGAAATGCCCAAGCGGGCGTCGAGCAACGCACTCAGCAAACGCGTGCCCGTGTCCGGAAGGTCCACCAGAATCGCAGGCAAACACAGGAACTGGGCCATGCGGATCTCAAAGTCCACGATCTTCCGACTGTCGGCATCCATCGTTTCCAAGTCACGAACGGCGTTTTGGTTCAAGTGCCCGACAACAAAGCTTTTCCACACTAAAAAAATAAATAGAATAAGCAACAACTTTTTTTTATTGTCATACAGTCATTAGGAAATAGAACATGTGAGTGAGAAAAAAAATGTTTCGATAACTTCTGTTTGATACAGTTGAACCACGAAAGCTCGAAAAAAATAAACAAATTGTTCAAAATTCCCCTAGAAACGATACATTACAAAAACTTCCCAAACTCCCAAGGCTTTCCACGTCATGTTTTCGTAAGTCAAACTTTCTAGACACTTTTCGACAATTCCTTTATTGACACACACAGGAACGATAAAAAATTAATTGATGTGCATTTTGAAAGACTAATTTGAAAGAAGAAATGATGAACCATTGCCCCCAAGTTCAGCCTCCTGTCAAATCATTCAAGAAGCGATTTGAAGCCCAGGATATCACCAATGCAATAAAAATTCCCTTTGTAATTCTTCCCCGTTATACTGTAACACATTATTCAGTACAACAACCTTTTTTTTTACAGTACAGTAATACAAAAGTATGCTCACCACTCGCGCTAACGTCAGTCATCATTCCGCGACGTTGGAAAATCGGAAGCGGGAGATCGTGGACGCCAACTCGACACGACGGATAACTCAGGTCCACGGCGACGAAGCAATACCTGATGCCCACATTCCAGAGTAGCCATCATCATCATCATCATCAGTACATAGAGTACAGTACAGTAATTGGCTTCCGAGTCACAACTCGTCCTCTCAAACACGTACCCTTTCTCCATGACCTTGTCTGGCCCGGCGGAAAATTCGTCGCAGTCGCCGCCGACGTCCAAACCTAACCGCGATTCCCCCATTTTCCGAGGGGGAGAAAAGGACAGACAGACAGACACACAAGCACTGCGGATACTGAGTCTGGGAAAACAAAGCGGGTTTCACAAGCAAAACCTGATGACTGGACCAAAGCTGCAATTGACGGAAAACAAGAGACATTATTACGAAACTTATAATGCTTCAGTGCAGCGTCTACCCAGTCAAAGGAAAATCTTTTTGTCGTGAGGCATCCACATCCCAATTTTCCATTTATTTATTTCATTTTATTTACGTTTTTTACTATGTAACGTAAATACGATAATTCGTTCCGCACATACAAGGTACATGGTACAGTACATCTCAAATCAACTTCAATGCGGGAGGTTAATGAAGAATTTTCGATAGTTTATCGACCGAAGAAAACCGGAGAAATTTGACAAAGCAGAAAAAATGAAATGAGCGGGAGCAAGAAAAGGTCAAAAGCTCTTTTGAAAACAACCAACTCATTGACTTCGAGATGATCTTCTTCAAAGTTTTTCAGAGAATGCATGAAATATTGAAATTCATTCATTATTTTGGAACCATTCCTCTTGAGTGCATTTGAGGGAAGGCACAAGAAAAAATCGATTAAAAATTAGTTTCGAACACAGAAAACATGCTACAGTACTTGAAATTTCTGTAATGTCTCCAACCCCGGGTGAATGAAAGTTGAAGGAAAAGTGCAATCAAGTTGAACCTCGCCAATCCGAATACCTCTCGAATATTCTGCTGGGGGCCTTTTTGGAGATTATTTTATGGAAACGGGAAAAAGAAACCCCCCCCCCCCCAAAAAAAAGTAACTTGATGTGTTTTGAAAAGAGGCAAATGAACCATAGCCTCCAACTTCAGCATTCCGTCAACTCATTTAGGAAGCAATATAAGGCCCAAAGTATTAACAA